CAGCGGAGGAAGAGGCCAGACAGTTAATTTTTCAGCCTTTGTCCGTCCCGCAAAAGTTTTTTCTATTTTTTCGAGTCGGATGGTTTGAGTGTTGGAGCCCTGAACTGTGCCTGTGCGCAGTCGCTCACTGGTGAAGGAGGAGAAAAAGCTACCGATGTCTCCTGAGCGGTGTGGAGGTCAGCAAGGAGAAGATGTCTCCGAGCATCCTGCCTGGGCTCACGGGGCAGCGGTCCATCCCTGTGGACCTCCCTCCCCTTTGCCTTCAGGTTGGCGTCATGCCCAGCACATGGATGCCGGAGGTCCTCTCCTGGGGTGGGTCCTCTGCTGCGGAGCCGTGCCATGAGACGGAGCTGATGTCCATCCATCAGGCAGAGGTGAACTCGCCCAAGGTTGTTTGAATTCAGAGCAGTGCTGCTGTGGTCAAAACCTGACGGATGGGGGCAAGCTGGACAGCTTTGCTGCTCAACATGCGTCGCTCTTTGGCTTGTAGGGTTAGCTAAGGTGGTGTAAAGGCCATTAGAAGAAGCCATCAGGGCAGCGTGGTGGAGCTGTGATGGAGTCAGGAGGCTGCAGGACGGGGAGGAGGCTCGGTTGCCGCGGGGAAGGCGGGGGGTGCATCGTTGCAAACGCAAACATAAGGCATGTTGGTCATATAGGAGAGTCCAAAAATGAGCAGAGATACTGGAAAAGCTGCATTGATGCACGGACCACCACTTGTTTTGTTCCTCTTCTGTAAAATGATGTAGTATTGATGCCTACGCTGCAAATGCTGTGGAGGTTGGGGTCACCCCTGCCCCAAGGAGAGAGGGTTGGCATCCAACGCCCCTGCAACGCCAGGCTCTGCGGTGGCAGGTGGGCTCCAGAAAGGCATTTCCCTTTTTTCCCCAGATAATTTTTTTAATTAAATGCCCCAGTTTGGGGAGGGTGATAACCTTTGGTTTATGGAAGGGGTGATGAGCAGTGTGCAGAGATCTGACGGAGATGGGAGCTGGCGGAGGGGTCATCACATCTCCCTTGGAGAGCTCCCAACCTTGGCAGTGTCCTTGTTAAGATGAAGCCACCAAGTCTTTTCCCCAAAGCCCTCTCCATTGATAGGCTGCTTAATTTCCTTCCAGAGCAGGAGTATAAATGCAGCACCTTAATAGAATAAATCAAATAGTATTGAGCTTTTCATTACACCGCCTACAAACTCAAACAGCCGCAGAGGGTTGCCCTTGAAAGACCTCCTAAGGCATCGCAAGTGGCTCTACCACCACCGGCGTCCAAGGGGCCTCCTTCCCCCTGTCCTTCCTGCGTTTGCTCATCGCTGCTCGCTGGCGGTCTCTCCCGCTGTGCCGCCGTATGTTCGGCTTCTGCGGGAATCGGTGCGCAGAGCCGGCAGCTACCTGGTCCAGGAGCAGCCACGGCACAGCTCCCGGCCCCGCCAGGACGCGTGGGATGGTGCTCATGAGTTTCTGGTCCTGCGAGGTCCAAAAGCCCCAGCAGATTTACCCTGTAGTTGCCAAAATAGAGGATTTATTCTGTGTTTGCTTGGATTTGTACAGCTTAACTTACCTCATGAAGGACCCCGAGTCGCTGCTTGCCTTTGCAGTGCAGGGCTTCTTACGGCGATGGAGGGTTGTATGACCCCATGTGTGACACCTTCAGCCCTAGTGAAGCCTGGCTTTTCGGTGGTGGAGTATAAGGAAAAAAAAATTCAGATCTTTATTCATGCAGTTTTATTCTGTAATAATGCTACAGAATAGTGACCTGATTTCAGGATGTTTTAAAAGAGCACTTAGACGAAGAATTAGGTTTCTTTCCTGAACATTACTGTGTTAACCTGCAAAGATGACCCTCAATTTTTAGGTTGAGTTACTTTGGGCAGGGAGGGGGAGAAGGCTATTTCTTGAGCCTTTACTTGAATAATTTTCAGGGGTTTTAGGGATAAGAGCATTTCTGTCTCATCTCGGACTACAAAAATTCCCCAACTTGTTCTTCTACTGCATGGAGGTATCCTCTTTCAGGTCGAACAGAACCATGGAGCAGTTGTGTCCTCCTGACATCTTTTTGTTTGTTTTTTTTTTCCTGAAGTGTGGCCATAATAAGAGGGGCTCCTTCAGGCAAGTTTGTGCTCCTTTGTCACTAGGGCACATCAACCCAAAAAGAAGAGGACCCTTA